CTGCAATACTCGCTGAACACGCCGTTCCTGCCGAGGACGCGCACGTCGCAGGCGACCGTGTACAGCCTCGCTCCACCGCTGGCCCCGAGGGGCCGCAGAACGAGACTGACGTCAGGGTGCGATCGGCTCAGGGTACGTTCCAGGAGTTCAGGAACATCTAGCTGCCCTCGTTTCTGGGGGCCGAGCGGAATGACAGGAGATCTTGGGAAGTCCTGGCTTCCTGCTTCTGTCACATTGGAATCCTGCTTAGGATCTTGGGAGAATCCTGGGAGTCCTGCCTGGAGATCTGGGTGTCTTGCGAGACAGCAGTCTTGGAGCGCATCTCCATCCTGAAACTTCTTGCGCCTTCGAGGCCTGCTCCCTTGGGAGGGGGGAAGCTCCCGCATCCCGGCTCGACCTCGCCCCCCCCCTGGCGCCACCCAGGGCGGGGGCTGAGTCGCCGCGAAAGGAGCGGGCCCTGAGAGAAGCGGGCCCTGGCCATCGCTCGGACGTCCTCGCCGAAGGAACAATGCACACGTCCGAGCGATGCCGAGGGCCCCGAGGTTTGTCACGGTTTTCGGGCCCTCGGGGCCCTCCACGGGCCCCGAGGTTGTCAAAAAACGACTCATGATGAAGAACTGGCCCTGGGGGGGAGGTCCCGGGGCCCAGGACCCGCTTCCCTCAGGACCCGCGGAGTTGAGCCGCGATCGCTGGATTCGGAGTCCAACGTGCTGACCGTTACACCATGAGGTCAGTTGATGCACCGCTGGCAGCGCCCGCCCCAGTTCGCCGCCCGCGCTGAGCCCAGCTGGGCGGCTGGGGTGGCGCGGCGGGGGGGGGGGGATGGGTCCTTCGCGTCGATTAGTTTAGTCGGCTTCGTCTTGAGATTTAGAGCAGCTGCAGAGCTCGTAGCCGCAGCATTCGATTCGCCATGGCAACGACCATCGCTGTGACAATACGAGGGCGACGAGGTTGGTGCACTGGCGTCGGCTACAGTCGGAAAACTGGCTGTCGCTCTTGCTGGCTCTTCTCTTTTAGCAGCAGGGAGCACACCCACAGAACTTCACCTGAATTGGCCTCGACCACTGTGCGAACCAAAAGGTCGCCAGGCAAACCGGGAACACCACACGAGCCGCCCTGCGATAGACACACCCACGGGTACACCCTGCGAAATGCTGAAGAAATCATGGGTTAAGAAATTCGTAGTCTCAGAACTTGAACGAAAACCCAGCATTTCTATCAAACTCTTAAGATTTGCATTGAAACGTTACGAATAATCGAGACTCTGGCCGAAAACTTAGGTTTTCTTAAGCATCGCCTGAAGTGTACATGCTGTTGTCATCGTCCTCCTCCTCCGTGGCCTGTCGCGGAGGCCATGGGGGACCCTGGGTGGGCCATTGCGGGTGCTGCTAGAAGTGCCCCCTGGACCAAGGTGCCCCCAGCTTTTCGCTCCATTTTGGAGCCCCTGGGGTCCCCTGGGCCTCGTGAGGGGTGCCCTGGAGGCCGCCTGGGCCACCCCGAGAGTCCTGGGGGTACCTTGGGCCAGGGGTACCTCTAGCAACACCCGACCATTGCCTGTCCCCACTTCTCCCACCACCGGGCGGGCCTGTCGGGCCTCGGCTCGGACCCCCCCACGGTGGTGGGGTAGCCGTCGCCGCCCACGTGGATGCCGGAGTCTACCTCGGCCGCGAGATGGGATGGGAACGCGCGGAGGACGGACTGGAGAAAGCGGAGGGGGGAGGAGGGACGCGCTCCTCCTCCTCCTCCTCCTCCTCCTCCTCCTCCTCCTCCTCCTCCTCCTCCTCCTCCTCCTCCGCCTCCTCCCTCCTCCCCCTCCTCCTCCTCCTCCTCCTCCTCCTCCTCCTCCCCTCCTCCTCCTCCTCCTCCTCCTCCTCCTCCTCCTCCTCCTCCTCCTCCTCCTCCTCCTCCTCCTCCTCCCCCTCCTCCTGCATCCCCACTCCTTGTAAACAACTCTCCCCTGTCGAGACACCAGACGTTCTGGCCAGCCTTTCTCGCTTAAGGCTTCCTCGCGATCTATAACGCTGACGCTGCATACCTCCCACGATTTCACGTATGGAGCGCGGGTAGTTTTTGAGATGCGACTGTCGCCTTCGCGCCGCGAGCGTGCGCCTCAGCGGCTTGGCTTGTAACAGCCTCAAGAATGGAGGGCGTCTCGCCTTCAAAATGCGTCCCTCGCATTAGCGCCGCGCAAAAATTTGGTCGCACACGTTCGCAATAACTTCAAGGAGGGAGGGCGGAGACGTCTTCATGATGCGGCTCTCGCCTTAGCGCCGCGTGCATGCGTGTCAACAAGTTGGTTCGTAACCGTTTCAAAGGTGGAGGGCGTTTCGCTCTCAAAACGCGTCCCTCGCATTAGCGCCGCACTGATTCGCCTCACTGGGGCACAGCGGCTCCGAAGAAACAGGGCGAACCGTCTTCTTGATGCGAATCTCGCCTTCGCGCCGCGCCCGCTCGTCGTGCAAACATAATTTTGTTTCAAGGATGAACAGACGGCAATTTTCAAAACGCGCGTCTCACCTTAGCGCCGGGTGCACTCGCCCTGGCAATCTGCAGCAACTTCAAGGATGGAGTACAGGAAGGAGGAATGCAAGGATGAATGCAGGACAGCTCCCTTTCAAAACATGTGTCTCGCCTGAGTCAAAACCCATCGGGCGCCCGCCTTTCCAGAGGGCACTTCCTACAGTGAAGAAAAAGGCTTGTAATGACTTGTGCTGTGAGGAAGGGCATTTGGGGCGGGATGGTTTATTGTAGTAGCATCGTTCACAACCCCTGGAATTACTCAAATCCTTCTCCGCCTGCTCCTCCTCGCGCTCCCTCCTCTGGCCTCCGTTCCTCCCGAGACCCGTGCCCCTTCTCCTGAGGGGGTGGTGCCGCGCATGCGCGCGTTCCCGTTGGCGCGTCGGCGGCCATGCGCCCGGCAGCGCGGCGGTCACTGGAAGCGAACGCAGCAGAGACCCGATCGCGAGAAGAAAGGAAACCCAGGAAAAACGGCGACAGAGGCGGCGAGAGCAGACGACGGACACAGGAGAAAAAGGCAAGAGCGAAGGCAGAGGCAGGGCAGCAGTGGGCGCGCGGTGAGCTGGCCGAGGCCAGCCGCACGGGCGGGGCGGCGGACGAAGGGCGCGCGGGGGGGCGTGGAGGCGAGGGGGCAAAGGGGGACAGAAGACGGGACGGCCAGAACAGGGAACAAGAGGACGGGGGCAAACGCGGAAAAGAAGGTGGCAGAAGCAGCGCGACGGCGCGGCGGAGGGGAGGGAGGGGATCAATCGCACACGCGTGCGCGCACGCACGCGCACGCGCCCACGCACACGTGCTCGCACTCAAAGCGCGCGAGCATTTTGTTTGGGGGGTCCGCCGTTCCATCTACTGCGCGAGCCAGGGAACAGGGGTCCTGGGCATTGGGCAGACGCAAGCGACCGAAGCATATTGCGCAGACCAGGTAGACACGTCCTGCCCGCGCGCGCGCGGGCGGGGGTGCGGGGCGGAGCGCGCCTGCTTGAGTCGGCGCGCGCGGGGGCGGTCATTTTCGTCGTCGTCGTGTGTGCTGTCCCCTCCTGTAGAGAGCAAACGCATGCGACTCAGCGCCGCTGGCGCTCAAGGCGCAAGCCCTGCCGGGCGGCGGACCTCGTGGGCATGTGGGCCCAACTGCGGGAGGGCCGCGGGCTGTGGCGCAGTGGACAGAAGAATTTTCTCGTCGCTGTCGCCGTCTGTCGCCGTCCGTCGGTCGGCTGGCCTTGCGCCCGACGTTCTCTCTCTCGAGTCTTCCGACGCAAGCAAAGCTGCCAGCGGGACATGTCGGGCGGTTGGGCGGGACACATCGTCGTCGTCGTCCTCCTCCTCCTCCTCCATCCTCCATCCTCCATCCTCCTCCTCCTCCTCGTGGTTTGCCGAGGGGGGTCGAATCTACCCCACGGGGTGGTAGGGTGGGCAAGTCGTCGTCGTCGTCCTGGGCGCGACATCGTGGGCACGTTGTCGTCCTCGACGTCGCTTGCCAGCGCCAGCGGGGGTCGAACCCCCCCATGACTTTCACTCTCGAGGGGGAAACTCGCGCTGGAAGCCAGGGCTCCATCTCCGAACCACCGACGCGGGGTTGCGAGGAGCACGCGGCGAGAGCACAGCGGACAGAAACGACCGAACAGACAGCGAAACCGACCGAATCGAAGCCTCGGATGCAGACTGGAGACGCAGCGACGCAACTACCAACCGAACCGAACCGGGACCGAGCGCAGCCGATTGCGACGCAGCCGGCAGACCCGAGCCGCGGATTCAGACACCACACGATGAGTGTTTTGGTTTCATCAGTGCGCGGCCCCAAATGCGTCCCGATCACTTCCCAAGGAGTAGCTCTCCGGCCCACATGTATGCTTAGTGGTCCTGCGACCAGAAAGGAGAGCCCAATACGGAATGCATAAGCCGGACTGGCGATCGAAATGGATCGGGTCCGCGACACTCGGCAGACAAGTCGGGGGAACTCGAATCGTCGGACATCGGCAGGCCAATATTCGGGGATGGACAGACCTCCCTGTAGTAAAACGTGGTTTAGTGAAATCGACCTGAGGCCCAAACCTGGCGGGCGCAAGCCTGGAAAATAACGGCCGCGGCGCCCTCTCGAGAACCGAAAACGGACAATTCACTGATCGACGTGTCACTGTTGGGGGTTCTGTCCGCCCCCGAAATCCGCCGACCCCAGAGGCGTGTGCGGGCAAGTGGCCAAGCTTAGCCACACCCCCAACATCTCTCGCCCAACAGCGAGCGATATCCACCTTCGCGCCCTGGCACCCCCACCCCGTCGAGCCGCTGTGGCCCACCCCACCTCGCCCCCCACCTCGCCTCCACCCCCCCTCGACATCCCCAAGCCTCTAGACTCTGTT